AACCCGCTTCACTCGGTTTCTAAAGCAAGCGCGTTACCACTGCGTTGGAATCTCATACTAAGAATTAATATTATATACAGAGATTAATATATTGTTATTTTTATTATTCATAATTATTCATATTTTCATCCTCCATCTATAAATCTTTACTTTGAAGCTATAACATAAAGACGAATATTACGAATAATTAACGAATTTACGCGAGCTCCATTTTTGTCTTACTGATACGGAACCCTGAAAAGTACATACCTGAGTAAAAATAGCATAAGTAACTCTAAATAAATCATGACTTTTAATAGTATAATATCATAAATATACGAGTATATTCGCTGACTACTGACTTACCCTCGCTTCAATCGAGTGTAGGTACATTGTACATAATTCTCTTAAGGTTTAGCCAGCGTTAGATATGTGAATTTCTAAGAACGGCACGATAGAACCAGTTATTGTGTTTTCCGTGTGAATGAAAGATTTTCCTGTAGTAAAAGGTATTCTAAATGTTGGCCCGGGTAATAAGTTATAGCTACAGATTATTTATTGTTTTTATTTTTTTATTTTTATTCGTATTTTTCTCTTTCATATTTTGATATCCATACATGGGGGTGCATAAAAATCACTTAAGCCGCCATCTTTGGGAGTCCACCATATTGGGTTTAAAATGACGTCACTTAGCTAACCATGTAGAGTCATCCAAGCTAAACGTGTATGCAAAATTTCAGTGCAATCGGTTTTAAAATGTTTTAAAATTTATTTGAAGATTTGACCCGAACAAACATACTAGATATGAAAACTTCTTTCATATTTAAATACTGTTGTAAGGCATATCCCATCCAAAAACTATAAATGTAAAAATGGGAGCCAAGTTCAATATTAAGAAGATGCGTTTTTGTCAACTTCACCGACAAAGATTGAGATCTAAATGGGTGGCAAATTCTGTGATAATCCTGATTTTTTTCATAAGAACATACAATATTCTAAAATAAATTTAAAACACAATTTCTTGTTTTTTCTGCTACAAAAGTTTTTGTTATTTAAAAATAGAACTTCTTAAACTTGAACAGTCGAATTATTTACAGAGTAGATAACTTAGGATAAATTGAAGTTCAAAATTTGACTTGGCTAGTTTTTCCATACACATTATCTTATATTTGGCTAATCACTTATATCTTCTTTACGCTATACGCAAGTTACTGTTTTTATATTGTAGGGTCAACATGTCTCACTCTTGTATATAAGTGATTAGCGAAATATAAGATAACTTCTATGTAAAATCTAGCCAGGAGCTGCGTGTGTAATGTGTATGTCTCTGACTGCATAATACCTACTATGTTCCTTCATCAACTTGTTTTCATCTTTTTAGTTCGCTTTCTACGCAGTCGGGTTTTTTAATTTTTTTGTATTTTTTTTTTATTTGTTGTTTTTTAGCATTTCTCATTCCAAATTACATTTAAATATATGAGTTGAAAATATTTTTGTAAGCCATTTATAACTTTCTCACTTTGTTTTAATATCCCGCTCGATAGGTTTTGAGGAAAAAACATTTTTAATCATATTAAGGCGTCAAAAATCGTCTATTTTATTTTTATAATTTTGATATAATATACCCAATGTCATTCTCGCAATTAAGACGTGAACCTAACGAGTAATGACACCTCTCAAGCTAAAATCCATCAAGTCGTTTAGGCTACGTAGCGTGCCAAAGAAATATACATACAAAAAATCCAACATATATTTTGTCTGGATCCTAAGACTATAGATTTCGAGGTACATATTGAGAGCACGTGTCATCGGTACGTGCTCTCAATACGTACTGCCTGCCAGTTTCCCTGTTCCCGGCGCGATGGCTTTTCGCTGTATCCTAGCGACCCTACTGGCTATACATGCGGTAATGATTTTTCCTCTACAGCCTTAAAGAAAACTCAATATAACCACCGACATAATAATGGAATATTAATATAAAAAACTTATTTAAATAAACACTCTTTTTTATTTTTTTACAGTTATTAATGAAAATGTTCTAAAATAAATATTTGGTTTTTCTTTATTTTATATAATAATAATAATATAAGATATATACAAGACATAAGTGACGAGATTACATTAGAGAGAACATTAAAATATGTCTAACTATTGGTGGCAACAAAAAGAAGCTCGAGAGTCATAGAAGCATAAAAGCAAAGTCTCAGCTCGCATTTTATTTTTTGGGACTACCGTATATAGAGGCATATTCATCATGTCTCGTCGAAGCTGAGTCTTGTGACTTATCCAAGACATTCGATGAGAATTATCTTTGAATAGGTAGAGCAGACTCGACCTTAAAATGAAACAAAACTCAAAAAAATATTTAAATGTTGTGTTGAATCGAATAAAATGTGCGCTTGAAAACTACTAATATTTTTTTACATGAGTAACTATTTTTTGAAATTCGATTATTAGAAACAATATTTAAGCAAGCGCCATGTTGTAATGTAGAGTTTTTTACAGTAGGTAGGTGAAAACTTTTTGCAGATTGTATTCTTTTCAAATAATTTACAACAATGTAAAATTCAAAACATATACATAAGATAATTTTCTAAATAATCAAACCAACATTTATCATAAAAAAATATATTAAAGGTAATGTTTTGACAGAATAAATTTTTCCTTTGCTAGCAACCCATAGTTAAAACTTATGCTGGGTACACACCGACCCAACGAACGCCAACGAAGGATATTCAGCGTTGGCTACCGCACGTTCGTTGGCCTTCGAAGGTACGTCTAAATACATTTAGTGATCGAGCAAACGATCGTTGGCACCTGATTCCGGCTTGCATTTGCAATTTTATCATGGATGACGATAAAATTATTATAATTCCTAGTTTTATATAGCTTAACGCAAAGAAAAGAAAAATTAAACGAAAGCTGAGATGGTGGAGAACCACATATTTTAAGAATAGAAATGTGTATAGTGGAAGTAAAATGATTGCGGGCTTGCAAGTAGAAAAAGAATATTATTTATTTGACAACTTTAGCAGAATGTCTGCTCAAGATTTTGAATGGTTGTTGATTAGTATTGGACCAGAAATATCAAGAAAAGGTACAAATTATTATCTAGCAATACGTTCGTTCGCTAGCTTTCGGTGACCGTCCACAATGAGTTCGATCAAATTGCTCTATTCCTTTGATGTTACCGCCATGCTTCGGATTGCAGGCACAAGCCAACGAACGATCGTTGGTGTTCGCTAAGTAGTCCAAACAGGGCCAACAAAACCGATTCGTTGGCATTTGTTTGGTCGGTGTGTACCCAGCATTAGAAGCAAATTGCCATTTGCCGCAAATGCGCACAGCGCAAGTCAAAATACGTCAGCTACGACTAGTAATACGTAATACACGCTTGAAACAAAATTATTTATTTATAAAAATATTAGTATTAAATACGGGTAAGTACTTTTATTTTGTCACTATGTTTTGTAAAAAATAAATAATATTAGGTGGATTTTACTGTGAAATAAGATTTTGTTGACACTTAAATGGTTTATTTATTTTTGAATATAACTCATTACAATCTGTAAAATACTAATTTATCGATTTATTTTGCAGATATATTTTTCGTTAAAATTATATGTAGGTCAACTAACTCATTGTGTAGGAAAGTAATAAAACTGTGGTATACTTCAAAATCTTTTAATATGGATCACTCTTCGATTAAAAACTATTGATTAACAAAATAATTATAAAAATCGGTTTACGGTTAGCAAAGATGTCATAACATAATTTTACAAAAATAAATACACAAGAACCTCCTTTTTTAAAGTCCGTCAATAAAATTTGTTTGTTATCTGAACTCAAATATACGTATTAATTAAGTTACACCACTGTACCGTCTCATACTATGACCGTGCTAGGACCGTATCAGGCAAAAAAATATTCTTTGTATTGAAAAGTATGAGACTCTGCCCACTAGACCATTCCGTCACCGACCGGCACCGTCGAGTGCCGTGCACGGAGCGGTAACAATTGTCAGCGAGAATATTTTGCCGGTACAGGTACGCTCTAAATACAAGTACTAAATAGAAGTACGGTGACTGGCACGCGACGTTGCGGGATCGCTACGCGCAGACGGCGCAATGGTGAGCATACACAGCATTAAAAGCCTTATGTACGGGTATAATACGCTGTTGATAGGCTCTAGTGGGCATGGTAGTCTATGCCATGCTCGTTTCTGTGCCTGATACGTTCATAGCACTGTTATGGTATGAGGCGGTGTAGTGGGCAGACATCTTTAGGTATATAAAGAAATACCGTTATACTGTCGATTTTCTCATTTAGTGAAGTAAAAGTTTATATAATTTATTCTATGTCCATATGTTATTTAAAAATTAAATACAAATATATATTTCTCCAATAGTTTCCTAAATATAGATAGACTAATATCCAAATTTCAAAAGCATTATCGTTCAAGTCAAAAACTCAGCTTACTTATTAGCCTTTCGTTTGACTTCGCTGTAGTCGCGTAAATAAAAAAAATATCTTATTGTAGAATTACATTTATTTTATGTAGGTTATATAAAACATATCACTAAATAATAAAAATATAAAACTTTTAACACCTGGAAGTGGGCCTCCCTTTAATTCAAAGGGGAGTCAGTCAGGCTATAGTTCACTATGCGAGGCAAGTGCGGGTTGGCGGACTTCACGTATCTATCGAAAACTTGCTAGATTCTCTCAGACATTCAGGTTTTAATTTTTTCCTTCACCGTAATAGCAAGTGGTTGTCTTGTTGAAAAATATACAAAAATGAATTTATGCCATTAATATATGTAGGATCTTGGGAAACTAATAAAAGCATTTATCTATAGCACTATAACTATTTATTCTTTTAAAATCAGTTAATACATTGTTCACGCGTATCATCGTGTCACCATTATCCATTATGACAAAACATCCTCCTTTTTTTTATTCATCTCAAATCCCACATATATGTATACTAATTAAATAATATTATTATATTGTAGGTAAATATGACTACGAATAGCACCGGAGCAGTTTTTTTCTTGGGTAGTCGAGCACATTATCAAGTAAGTTAAAATTTTGCGAATTAATAAGATAACGCACGCCTGGCCAATTTTGTCCACGTTGGCCATTCTCAGAAAAACTAGCCATTTGTAGGAGATATTAAGGTGCGTGTAATGTATAAAGCGAAGGACCAACAGTTTAAGATGCTCTCCGAGGCATGCAGGTGTAAAAACTCTGGTGTACCTACTATTTTTCGGGAAGAGAAAATCCTGTTAATATTTTCGCCCGACCTTGAACTCGAACCCAGGTCTCTTTTAATATGTAGCTATACATATCAGCCACTAGACAAATGGCTCATATAATTTGTTTAAACGAATTCCACATATTACAAATGGTCAAAAGGAAGTTTTTCCTAGTTTTTGTAGGGTTTCGTACCTGAAAAAAAGGAACTCTTAGAGGATTACTTCGTTATCCGTCTGTATGTTTGTCTGTCAAGTTACATTATTTAGATTAACCATGCAAATCTCGTTTCAGGTCTTAGAACAGCCGAATAATTATGATGCCAAAAATGGTAACACGTCTACAGAGACGATATACCAAAACCAGTCGGTTGAGGAGTTATGGCCGAAGGAACAAACAAACAAACAGAAATACGACGCGAATTACAACCTAGAATCTCAGTGGACTTGCACTGATCAAAATAGTACTGGTAAGTTTACTTGAAACTAGTGATGATCTCCTGACCAATTTGAGCCAGGGATTTAGGAGCGGATCTAACATTTTCCCTATATAGCCTTATATTGGCCCAATAACCTTGAGATCTAATAAAGAACCAAATAATAGCGTTATTTATTTCGTCTAGCAGGTACCTACTATCGATCATTATAGATTTTATAAAGTCAAAATTACATCCTTAGAACCCCCCCCCACTTCTCCTCGTCTAATTTTCACCATTCTTCGAAGCATTATAAGTTAGTAAATGTGATTCCATCATTAAATATTTCGATTTAAACTTCTAGAAACATTATACATAGGTTAAAGACAAAATGAAAATTAGTTGAGGCCCCCAAGAAGTTGTAGCCCAGGGCTCCCCAACTTCCACCCCTTCCACCCCTGATTGTGTTTGAAATAGGTAATAAGTTAGTAAATGTGATCCCATCTGTAAATAATTTGATCTAAACTTGTAGAAACATTCCAGATGGCTAACTTCGACCGATGGCTATCATTATCATATATACATTATCGGTCGAAGCTAGTTCCGTAACTTGCCCAAGGGACTCTTACCCCATACTATTTCTTTACCAGTCTCATGCGACAAACAATCAACCGTGAAACGTCGCGTGAAACGGAGGTCAAGTGAAGCGCTTCTCTGTGAAATGAAACCCGCCGTTTTGAATCACGTCCGAAGTAAAGAGTAAGTTAAATTCTTTATTCAAATTAGAATCGTTAAGTTAGCGACTTATTTTTAAAACATAGATTTTTCTAGTTTAGTGTACTTATATATTATATGTTTATGTATATATATGTATTATAATTTGTATGTATTCTACTTTTCGAAATAAATCAGCGCCGCTTATTACACTACAATACACTACAACACTAGCATATTAGTTCGATCAAAATAAATATTTCAATTTGCAATAATTTGCATAAAACTGAAAATCGGTACAGGCCTTAGGTAGACTGATACCGATCCCTCATCTGCTAAAATATTCGAGGTCGAAGGAAAAAAATATCCGTTTTTTCTAGAAAAAGATAAAAGTTATCATAAAATTAGGTCAGACAAAAATTTTAGATCATGCAATTATCTACAAAAATTGTACCTTTTTTCGTAGAATCACCCTGTAGGCATGCTCCAAAATTTATTGTAATTCAGTTTTTTTTAATAATAATCCTTTAGTTAAAATATGTTACTATTGGAAATGATTAAAGTTGAACGATTCATAGTTGATATCAGACTATCTGTTACTAAAGTTCACTCAAATCTGTCCAGCTGTTTCATCGTGAAGGAGCAACAAACTTATGTACACACAAACAAAAATACGTATTTATAACACAGTGTGATTACAGGGAAGAAGCAAAACCGAATAGAAATTCTCTAATTTCTTACTTAACGTCTCTCGCAAGACGCAAATGTCGTCTCGAATCTGACCGAATACAATATTTAAAGCATATAGAGTCTGTACTAAATAATTGCACCTATCGGGAGTCGTGCCGGTGTTTGGATTGTCAGGTAAGAAAATTCGAATTTACCTTATTTGAAAAGAAAGATATATAATTAGGTACGTCCTAGGTACCAGTCATCGCAACACTCTTCTCATCGATCTAGGGCATTGATCAGACTCAAAAATGAAATCGTGGGGCGTTACATATTTACTACCGCTGACAGGTTATGCTATGCTTCACGTTTTTATTTTTAAGTCTGATCAATGCCCTAGAACTAGATTGATGAGGAGAGGGTTGTGATGACTGGTACCTAGGACGTACCTAACTATTTGTTAGCTTTTAGTACATTATCTATATCATTATTATCTTTCTTTTCAATAAAACCGTTAAAGTTAAAAAAACGCATTTTATTTTCAAGTTTTTAACTTTTCCAGCTGACTTTAAAAGGGAGTAGTTTCTCAATTCGGTTTTTTTATGGTTGTGACTTTAGAATTCCGTCATTATTAACCAATTTGACATAGTCGACCTGATCTGGTAAGGCCAGAAGGGACTCTTCAACGACAATAGTACATACTTTGAGTTTGGGCTTATTTTGTTGGATTTGAAAATCCCAATACGTGAGAAATGGGTTTTAGAGCCAGAATTTTTAGTGTCACTAATAAAAGCAAATTTAATTTGTCAGTGTTCATGTAAAAATTGGCATCAAACTAACTTAAACGGCTTAAGCGAATATTTCATTAAAATACTTTCTTCTTACTTTGCTACTACTATAGGTAATCAAATATTTTCGAAGTCAGTGCCAGCCGATAGAAATGAAAGCATCCCCTTTATTTCTAAAAAGTTTATATTAATTTTAAGCTGTAACACTATGATCCGATATGCACTGCGTTCTACTTGTAAAGCCCTTTCATTTGATACCCATATTGAGGGGCTTGTGAAAGAATATGTAAGAGGCCATTCTGTGACGGCGGCCATCTTGTATTTAAAATGATACTCAATATCATATTCAATTGTATTGTCACCAGAACTAAAGATGTATACCAAATATCAGATTAATCTGAACAGGAAAGGGGTAAAATGTTTATTACTAAATTTCACCACAAACGGGGAAAGCTAAATAAAACCACTTAATAATATAAAACTATATTTTTGGGTTTCGTCGCATTTAAAATTGTAAAAATGCTTTATAGCAATCATGGTCACGGGAGAGACTAAGGTTTTAGTTTAGGTTTAGCAAGTATAGAGACGAACAGACAAATATTTTAATAATTATTGTTTTGTGGTCTATATTTTGTATACAATACGTTAGTCATTGTTATAGTTATAAATTTAAAATATTTCATGTACAAATTTCGCCAAGTTTAAAGTTATTGTTTTATTTTATGTATAGATATTAAATATTCACTTTAATTATTAATCTTAATTAATACTTAAGTATAACCCGGTCAGTTGGAATATTCTTTTATTAAGAGTTACTAGCAGCAGTACCCGCTATTTAAAATGATAAGAAATTTTATCAAAACCGCTCCAGTCATTGTGTAATATATATGAAATATATTTACATACATACACCCATGGATTTTAAGCGCAACCACTATTCCAACCAGATTAAGAATAATGGCTAGAAAACACGAAAAGCAAAATATTTTCTTAGTTTACTTGATATGCATAAGGTAAACAAACCGATGGGAATCTAATGTAAAAATAATAATATAATATGTAATTACTTAATATTTATTTTTTTATAGCTGAACAAAAATTCTATCACAAAATATTGGAGCAATCCCTTATGTCACATTAAAGCTAATATTATTGAAATTAGAAGCACCAGAGACAATATTCTTTTAAATTTAGACTCTACCCACATTATTAATCATTATTTTTATCTCTATTAATGTCACATATGTACTTTATTGCATGTGTGTAGAGCCTTAACATTCCAAATGCCAATTATATAAAATTGCAAAAACAAACATTAAAGGTCAATCTCCAACAATGGTCAAGCACTTACTACAGTAATATTATTTGTTAATATTTTAATATATATAGCCATAGAATAGGCTATTCAACAAATTTGTCTATGTCATATTCTAAATGTGAATCCACATCATCTTTTGATTCAGTTATTGTTAATTTCTTCCTCTCTGTTAATCGTTGGCATTTCAAACAAATCTGTTCCTTCCGAAGCCAGCAACCTCTATGATACATTGAATTACATTTATCACACATTATTGCTCCACTGTCAAATGGATATAGAACTTCATTATTCTTGCATACTTCACATATATAGCCTTTGCCGGAACATAAAGCACAATTTGTTATGTGAGATCGACAAACTTCCGTTATTTCTGTCAGTTGAGTTTCTAAGCTTCCATCATTGATTGCTTGTAAATGTGCCATACTATACTTTTTATTTACATCACCTAATTGTATAAATAAGGGTGATAAAAGATTAGAGCCTTCACTACAAGCGCATAAGTATCTTCTCATCCATTCTAGATCTTTGCGCATTTTGTGTACCCATTCCAATTCAGCAATGAAATTAAATAGTCTAGCGTTCACATTTTCAACATCAATATATGGTCTTGACCATGATAGCATAAGCATCTGATAGGCGAGCCTTGATATATACCGCTTCTCCCAGTCCCAATTATGAACAACTCTCGCCGGGATCGCTGCTAAGTCATTCCAATGACATGTTGCGCAGAAATACATGCCAGTATAATCACAAAGCCTTGGTTCATTCCATGTGTCTTTGAAAGTCAAAGCTGTACTACACTCAGCACATTTGTAGTCTTGGGCTGCTAAACCTTTTTCAGGGCAAATATTCATCTCGAAAGACCCCCTCTCTGTCATAACAACATGAGCGCATACTCTGCATATGTCATCCACACATTTGTAATGACACACATATCCACAGTCAGAACAAATATATGAGTTTTGTACAATACTCCAGATAACTCCACTGCAATGATCGCAGTACTGCTTTCTATTGCTTGTACTTGTTTGTTGTTCAAAGTGATGTCCTTTTATAGCAATTTTAGGCCTTATATGACCATCATTGTCTTTCAGATCTTCTAATCTTAGACGTAATTCAACTAAATAACGCACTAACCATTTACGCTCGTCTGAGCATTGTGGGCTGTTTAAAACTAATTCTTTACACTGATTAATTGCTTTCTCTATTTCTTCTCGTGATGCCGAGCTGTGAATTTTTAGTTTTTTATTGGATATCGACTTGGGAATGTAGTTGGAGTCGCAACTTTCGTCTGCAGAGACACATCCAGACGTTGATGACGATGATCTGGAAGCAACATCAGCACTTCTAGGGCTACAGCAAATTAAACTATTGCGATATCTGGGCGAATCGTTTGCGAGGGCCGCGGCCATGGTGTGTGGACACGTAATTTCCAATTATATACTTATTCGTAATTACAGACACATTTCTTCAAGAGAATTATAATTTTCCAAAAAAAAATATATTATAATCACTTTAACGCAAATTTTAATAAATTACGCCGTAAAGTTACATGGTTTCCTTTGTTTTCAACATTACAAATGATGAGTAATGAAATAACAACAGCAGTGAGCAATCGCGTTTGACACATGTGTCATGTCCGATCTAATTTTGACGTTTATGTAATGGTTTATTGTCATGTTGGTAGTACACGATTACGTTTCATTCTACGTTAGTTTTGTAAGCTTTTATAATATACAACATGACATATTTTATGGAATTATTCGTATTTAAGATAAGTAAAGAACTAATAGAAGTTATATTTGAATAATAATGTCTTTATAAATCTAGATAAATTTAAATTATAGTAAATAAAATTTTATAAATCATATATACAAGTTCTAGGTACTAACTTAATTAAAATATGACCTACTAATGTTTGCATATTAATACGGTCTTGACCCTAAAATTTGGCCTTGATTGATAGTATTTCTTTTAAAATTGTGGATCGCACTAACATATGGACTAATCTAACTTGAATAGTGAATAACATGGATAACTGTCAATAATAAAAATAAAGCAGCGTTCACACATTTCTTTTATAATATTATTATTGTTAAAAAATGTCTCTTTTTGCATAGATAATATTTTACATAATATCAGTGGAAGTGTTTATATCAGTCGATAAACTTACAAATCCAAATTGAAACCTTTTAGTCCTCGCTTCGCTCAGATTGACCTCTAGAAATACAAAAACATTTCCATCTCTCGGGAACCGTATATTTTTCCGGGATAAAAAGTAGCCTATGTATTATTCCAGACTATAATCTATCACTGTGCCAAATTTCCTCCAGATCCGTTGAGCCGCTCTGTATAGTAAGTCTCAGTTGTTACTGAGCCCGGAGTTGGGGAGTTGGCGGTGTTTCACCCCCGTGCCCGAGTGACAAGAATAGAGAGTGCACCTGTGTCTGCGCGCACACTTGTGCACTATAATATCTCCTGCGCAGTTGGCTAGTCTCAATGAGATTGGCCACCGTAGCCGGAATCGCCTAGGAGAACATCATCCTCATCATCATAGATTCACTAAACATTACTACCAGATCAGAAATAAAAAGCCTCCATCCTAAACGACGTTAGTTACCAGAGATAGTTACTAAGGAGATAAATTGTATTGGATAAACTATCCAATTTTAAGTCAATTTAATTTTCTTTTTGAGAAGACACGGAAATTTGGTCGCTACTTTCTAAATACGTCTAAGATATTAAAAATTGTGAGATATGTGTGAATTGTAATATATGATATATTGTTTTGACCGGTTTTAGAGTCGTTACTTTGAATGTGGCGAAGAGAGCGACGAGTACAACTCGGACAATGATTACTCACCGTACAGTGTTCGAGATGTCGACAGCCAAGCGCTGTCCGATGAGTTGGATGACGACGTAAGTAGAGAGTTTATTTCGAAGGAATAAAAGGAAACGAATGTTAATAATATTAAAACTAAGTAAACAGTAAAAGTTTTATTGAATAACTAGCGACGTCCCCTCACTTCGCTCGGATTTTTCCATATGGATGAATGGTTAAGGAACGCATAGAGGATAAACATACCAAGATTTTATTTTTATGTCCGTAAGGGGATATTATAGATATGAAAGTAACTGTCTCTCTGATTTTTAATTGTTGAACAGATTTCGATGAAGTTTAACAAAGACATAGATTTCATCGTGGGGATGTTTATATAAGCGAAACCGTGGGCAAAGACTAATGTATCAGAAAATTATTAATGAAAATATCCACTATTTAGGTATTTTTAGATTCACGCATAGAAAACGATAACACTTCAACCGACCTGCTTCTAGAAGAAGAACCAGCCGCAGAAGAACCATCAGTAGAAGAGGAGGGAGAAGAAGATAAGCAACTTCAAATGGAAGTGGCAGCGAGCACCTCAGCTATGTTCAATATATTATTATATCATCCATTCTCTTGCGTTTTACAATAAACCGTCCACAACCGAAAGTCGCGAATTTGATTCCTGCTTATGAGGCCTATTACATTATGACCGTAATTTTTCAATTTATTGCCCATCTTTGACGTTCTTATTCAGAGAAATTGAAACTCTTCGATAATTATGACTTATTGTATGGTCGAGAATAGTTATTAATATAGTTCATAGTGACCTCGCTTTTCGCAAATTTTCGTTATAAATTGAAATAAAGCAAAAATTCAGAAGCAAGTTTTTAATAAAATGCGCGACGGCACTTTTTCAAGCTAATGGGTTAAAATACTATACTAAGCAAACGAAATGAAAAATATATAATAACATCTCGTATATAGTGGTTGAGTTTATAGCGGCCTCTGCATTTGAAAATATGCATTGGATTTCTACAAAAAAATACTTTTCAAAATCTTAAAAACTATTAAAAATGTTCAGAATTAACTGTAAATATATTCTTACAACATTAATATTAAGTAAAATTTATACCAGAATATACGTAAGTTCAAAAGAAACGTAATTAGTAAACGTAAATAATTTACCATAAAACTTTACATAGAAGTAATTACAACTGCACAAATTACTAGAAAGGCCGCTCGAACTCATTACCATTGAACGCAGTACATTTTGTGATAGGCCTCTTATGACAGAAAATTGTAGAGGTCTGTATATTTTAAACTACTTTTTGCTATATAGTTATTTTTGTTTTTTTTATAATGCGGTCAGTACAGTGTTTTTTTCTTATTTAGCTCGAAAAGAGATATGAGTTCTAAGAAAAATGACAAACAGAATTTTACAGTCCCATTTTTGACGTTTCCATACTGGTGAAATTAATATAGAAGTGTTAGATACACGAGTCATTTCTGTCAGATATTGGTTGTATGTCTTGCATATATTTGTCTAATCTTTGTTTTTTTTATTAAGGGTATATATTTGTCTAATCATTGGTTTTTTTATTAAGATCGTTGAATGTGAAGCGTTATTCATAATTTTATTTATTATTAGTACAGACGAGTATTTATGAGTTTGTGATACTTTGTATTATTAGTAGTAATTTTTGATCGCTTTTAAGACTTTTTTCGATCAATTCGGCCTATTTTCTTGCATGTGTGTTACGCTTAAGGTTTGCTTGTGAGTTCAAAAGTTAAGGTGATTTTGAAGATGTTTATATTAGTAAGATTCACACAAGTTTAGATAAATTTTTGTCAGTTTGTGTTAGGTATTTACCAAATTTTCTCGTATTAAAAAAAATTGCTTCAGATCTCCAGTCACTTGTACTTAATTATATGTAAAAATGACATTGAATCATTTATTTATTAAATCGTAATTAAATTTTGTGCACTAATAATATTGTAAAATTTATTTAAAAAAATGTGCGGGTTTTATTCAATGTATTAATTTAATTTAATAATAATAAAAAAATGTATTGTAACATAAGTGTCTCATTCAAGCAAATTAGAATAGATATTGCTTTCTCGCTCACACTTGGATGTGATATTATTTAATTTAATATTTATTAATAATATATGCCTCTCTTTTCACTTTCGCACTATTGCTTTTTCACTCAGTGCTTAGTAAAGAACGGCTTGAATACTAGTATGTATAGTATGACGCTTGAGCCACACATGTGTGTATTGTTAGTGAGATTCTATGTCTGCCAGCCTCAGGCGTCCCGCGACGGCTTTAACTGTTTTTTTTTTAATATTTATACGCGATTATAAAATGCCATCTTTTCTAAGTCCGATGAGTCTATGATACGCGTAAATTGTTTGACGAATACATCAAATATGACGCGACAATTCTAAATTTGACAAAATTTGTATGTAAATGTAATTGTAAATGTTTAAGCTTTCGTGGTTACTGACAATATTTTTATGAAGTAAATTTTTTTTTTGCCTCAACATCGGAAACACATAAAAAAGTGGCAAGGAGAATACCCTGTTTTACATCCTAAAAATATTTGTACATGTTGAGAGCACTTAGCTTTATTATTTTTGCTTTGCTTTATGGTAAAAGACACACGTGTGGTCGCAGCATAAGAGTAGAAAAATACAAAATAACTAATATTAATAAGGTTTATAAGGTAATACTAACAAATATAATTAATGTGATTATGTAAAAAAAGTAAATAATTTTTCCGTTATATACGTTAACAAGGAGAGAAAATGGAAAAATCTTTTTTAAAGAATTGCAAAAAATGTAATAATTATATAATTTCAGTGTATTTTGTTATAATTTATATAAAATAAAGATATGCGTTAAGTCCTAGATTATGTAGTTGATAATTTATATCTCAAATATGTCACTTAAATCAAAATACGCTTTCAAAATTCTAAATATTTAATAAATTGTATTATTCATATTGAGGAACTATACTATTTAAATAGAGTCAGTTATGCCTAATAATATTAATACCTATACATAACTTACTATAATAATGAAATATATTAAAACGGGGCAGCATTTCTTTTTTTTAATTCTTTTTTATTACAAAAGGTGAGATATTAGAAAAAATGGGAATTGTGGGAGATTTTAGTCTTGATAGGTAGGATATCAAGAACACTATTTTTTTTTAATTTGGAACGAAATAAATGCTTGGTAGATCTCGCTATCCAGTACTTTGTATTTGTATTTCGGCAGAACTAGATCATAGAAAATCTACAAAATAGACTGTTAAGAAGAGATAAATGAAAACGTCCTTTTTAAGAAATATTTTTTGATTGTTTTATTATAATATTTATTGTTTTATTTAAATAACAATTTATTTATCTTTCACTGCAAGAATTTTTAGCAACTTTAATTAGGTACATAGTAATAATGTTAATTAAATTAAAACTTATTCCATTGTTCCTATTGATGTAGGTAGCGTTAAGATGCTCATAATGTTTTTATTTAATTATTTTTTAATTTAAATACAAATATTTAATAATACTAATGTAAAATAATTTTTAATTTAAATTAAAACGTATTGATGTACAATCCCAACAACGATTAATAACAAGTTAAACCTCGTGAGTAGCTTCATTTTGGTGAAACCAACCCAACTATTCTTTCTACCAGAATTTGATAGTTGTGAATACAATTGTGGCTTCGTACAGAACATGTCAAAACGATGATTGTCTAAAATTTATTGCTAACAGGTTGTTTTGCGATTTAATCTAAGTCTCCAAAAAAAGTTGACTTAAATAGTCCCCCACTCCAAACTTGTTAAAATAACGTCATAAAATTTATTGATAAATCGGCTGATTTTCATAGTACCTATATCTAATTAATATTAAAAATATGTATAATAAAAATGTATTAATAATAGTTAAAATATGAATAATAAAAAATAAAAATTCTTTTGTATTTTAAATAGAGGCAGCATAATAGTAGAGCATTTTTTAAATATACATATGTATTATAATAAAATCCTTAGCTATTCTATTATATCACATTAATAATTATTCCATAAATATTTGTATGCTATTTTAAAAAAAGAAATTGCCCTTAATGTTTCTATGACCTTACTATGCCAATAATGCCCTAGCTATGCCAATGCAACCGCAATTGCAGTCGCATGGGGCCCTTGATTCAAGGGGACCCCATCAGGCCACAAATGATTCTTTTATTTCAAAACATTTTTTCGAGGACGGCCCGTATAGAAGTTTAAAAAAATGGCAAGAGAAAGGTGTCTAAAATTTTCGCATATTATTTTTTACAAGGAACACGAGAAATGCGATCGTACCTATGTTCTATAAAACGATTAATAGCCCTCAAAGTCTAATTTTACCCGTTCTTCCGTGAGATCGGTTTGAAAGTGAGAAGTTCGAAAATTGCTCTGTCATATTAAAGTATAAAAGTGCAGCAGGGCTCACGCTGGCTTAAGGAGGGAACTTTCATTTTTTTTGCATTAGGGCCCAAAAAGACTAGTTACGCCACTCTGTCTATATTATTATTCTTTAGTATAAGATAAGACATTATTGCTTGTTGGCTTCGACAACATTGTGTTTTGAAACACCTTTATTGCTCAAAAACTTGATTTTCATTTATTAAAATTCAGTTACGTTTAACGAACTAGGGCGAGATCTCAAAGATCTTTTAAAAAGACCATGTTATTTTGTATTATTGATGGTTATCGCCGAGATTATCGCCTTCGCTTAGAATATAATCTAAATTTATAAAAAAATGTTATTTCGAATATTATAAGTAACATAGACACAGTATTAATGTAATTATTAGAAATGCGATGAATGTTCGGTAAAATATTTGTATTCGGTATGTTTGGAGTATTTTTTTCCTTTAGGGACTTATTGGAGTTTTTTTATGTTATATTCCGCCGAATATTCGGTTTGTTCAGTTTGCTGAATAAATAAAAAATATTATTTAAAGGTTATTATTTTAAAAAAAGCTTTTTTTGTGAACATTTCGTATTATTTGTAATTAAAGAAACACTACCTTATATAATCATCATTTACATAATTAAAAAATAAAAATCTTGTTTCTTGCACAAAAAATGAGCCGAACAATTCGGCTGAATATTCGTTTAAAATGTGTTTTTTTTTAATATTTATAAAACAAAGATGTACTTACCTAAAAATTATGAATAAAATATTACAAAGTAATGAGTTTTATTTACTTTATTATATACTTCTTTGTTTATAAAGCATTTTTTTAAATCGGTACTTCACAACTGTTAGAGTATTTTATAAGGTTAGGACTTAGGTACCTAGTTCAAGTAAATTAGAATTTCGATGCGATGGTATGGTTTAATTTTTATTTATTGAGTCAGAGTATCGTCTGAAAACAATTTGGAAAATGAATGATGAATTTCATTAAACACTGGCATTGCCCGCGGCTTCGCCCGTGTTCATATGACCAAAACCAAATTTTTAGGTTTTACATATTAGTATACTCGTATTAGTATATTAGTTGACCCGGATAACCAGCTATTACCATACCAAATTTCTTCAAAATCCCTAAAATGATTTTTTTGTGATGCGGTAACAGACAGACATACAAAA